TATTAACAATGAACCTGTTGATAGCTATTGAAGGGAGAGGTGGTTATTTCCGAATAACTCAATTGTGTGTCTCTTTAGCTAGAGAAAAACGTTACCAAGATGTATGAAATGAGGATCATTTTTTTCCCTTCTACCTCCTTTATCACACTTCATTGTTGTTTGCAAATTGAGTGCACTTGTTTACTAAATGCATACAATTTAGACAATGAGCATTTACATTTTTCTGTATATTAGTTGTCTATTGTCCTTGTTTATCTGGATAAAACTTCGTGAAATGTTATTTTATATACTGTACGGGTGTCACACTGCAAATCCCATATTGCATTTTAGGTGCTACTTTGCTTTTATTGCCAGATCAATTTTAGCTGTATCATATCTTCATCTTCATTTTTTTCCAAACCAAGTCACTGTGCAGGTTAGGTCTGTTCCTGTCAGTTACTCTTCTTTGTTGTATTTGGAGTTGTGTTGCATTGTGCATTTCTTGTCTATAGAGGTTTCCATTCTCTCGTTGGTGTACATTTTCCTTTCATAAGTTTATTCTTGCTGATGTAGGACACAGTCTGCCCTTAAATCAGCCTTGAAAAATTCCTGGACAAACCATAGTCTAACCAAAAATTTGGTGCCCCTAAGGAAGTAACTTATTTTGCTGTCATTGTGCTTACAAGCGTCAGTGCTCCTACCCAGAATAATCTTCATAACCCTCTAAACATTCCTGTTCTTTGACTGCTACCTCCAATATCATCTCTCTCCTTACTTTTACTGCAAATCTTTTTGACCTGTTCCATTACATTATTTTAGTCCATCTACCAATCCACAAGCAAAACTTGGAAATTTTACCAGACGCACAGTAGCCAGAAAACTAGCCCTGTCAGCCATGGCCTGATGTGAAAGACGCGGGGGCAACTTTACTCAGTGCTGTTTTGGGTTCTGGCTGTAGTCAGGGGTTTCTATTACACAAGCCCTTTGTTTTCAGCTTCCTGCCTAAGTGAAGAGAGACTCCCCACCATATCTGTCTGCTGTTGTTGAAAGGCTTCCTGATCTACGGCAGAATGAAGCTTCTTTTCAGTATTGCTGCTCTTGGGATTTTGTTATATGGCAATGAAACGGGCAAAGTTGTGGTTTAATTTTTGCTCTGCTGCAGTTTTTTTTTGTAGAAGATCTAGGCCACTTCAAAGATTTGGAATAGGAGAATAGCACTACCTCTGCATTTGAAAGACTTTCTTCAATGTAACTTGCCTTCCACAGTTCAAAGGCAGTGTGCTTGTGAGAGAAGTTTGTTTGCCATGGGGAAGGAGCTATTCCATCCCACCATTAGAAGGTGATGATACTTACTTACACCAGCAGTGGATATGTGCCTGCTTCTTTGCATTTGCTGTGCATTGATCAGTAAATCCACATATCCAAAGTCCACTAGGTTGCTGGCAAGTTTTCTGCCTGATTTTTGTTTCAAGAAAGTCTAGGTTGTCATCAGCTTCCTGTAAAATAGCAATACGCAATAATGTACACAATAATAGAAACAACAGCTTTTCCCAGAAATAATTTAAAAACTGAACTGGTTGCTTTCTCTCATTTCCACCCCCAAAAATAGGGACTAGCACTTCAAAGAGTACAGCTTCTGTGTTCATTACTGATCTGTACACACTAAGCAAAGTGGTGTGGTTTGGTTTTTCATGTCCTGATCTTTGGGATACAGTTAGCATGTCACATTGCATATTCTGCAGAATGAAAGAACCTTATTGTGGCATCACAGTAAGTGAGGAAGTTTTTCTTTAACTGATTTATCTCCAGCAATAAATTATTAACAAAGCCATTTTTCAAAATGTGAATCCTCTTGCTCCACAATAAGTATATCTGCTAGATAGAGCCTCTAGCAAGACTAGAATTACCACTGGAGGGTTTTCAACAACAACAACAAAAATGAATTTCAGGGTAACTTTCTATCAGCTGGTTTCTATTCTGCAAGAAGACTTTCACAAGGATTTCACAACTCTGGAGAAGGGAAGGCTTGAAAGCCTTAGTTTTGGAATGGTATTGGGGAAAGGAGTGGGAATGAGTACCATTTATTTTTTGTCTTTAACTGTTACTATTAAGACTTTAACATACAGTGCTAGCTGTCTAATCCCATTGCTTTTAAGGAAACGGACTGAATGCTGATAACTTGAACAAAGAAAGATTTAAAGGTTATTACGTAAGTGTTCTGCCTGTGGCTGCATCACAATTCATCATTTTATTCATGTTCAAAGCTCAGGTCTTTATTCAGTGAATCTATTGTAATTTGTGCAGATACTCATAAGATTTCTGCAGAGTCCAGTCTGTAGAGACACCACAGTATAACAGAGGCAAATAAAAGTAGTTGTTCTTCACAAGGTGCTGTAATTAAAGATGTTTTATTACAAACCCTACTCTGGTAGCTTTTTTTTTTTTTTTTTTTTAAGTTTGAAGCAGAGTATAGCATGGAAGATTCTTACAAGGCAAGTCTCTGTGTTTATTGCATATGAATATAATGTTTGGAGAAAGTGCAGAATCTGGAAAATGAAGTTGTCTTTAGTCACAGGCAGACAAGGTTCTCTGGGTAAATCGGATATCTTTTATCAGAACAACTTAAATAGTTGGAAAAAAATATTTGCAACCTTTCAGGTACAAATACCCTTTGTCAGGCTGAAGAAGCATCTGCAGTCAGTGTGTGCTCCTCTGTTCAACTATATGAGTTGGTCTAATAAAATATATCTGATTTACCCTAAGAACATTGTCTGCCTATGTCCTTAGACCAATGTGGCTACAGCCTATACATACCTCTTTAGTCACAGAACATATTTAGTTGTTCCCATTTTGGTACTGGCTTCTTTCACATTTTAACTAGTTCATTTTGACTGTAATCTGAAGGGGCTACCAGCAAGTCACTATTGCGAGAAATAAGCAGTGCTATCCTGGGTCAGATCAGTGATCCATCTAGCCCAATATCTTATCTCTGACAGTAGATGCTTTAGAGGTAAATGCTGATCCATTCATGTGTTGGCCTTTCCACAAAGTTGATATGCATGCCCAACTGTGGTAATATGAGTACTGCAGTCTCTGATCATATTATGGATAAGGCACTTTGGCCATTTTTTATTTGTAGAAAACAAACTAAGTATGATTTTGGCCAACATACTAACTTGAGTTCATGTAGTGTCAGGGAGAATTTTGTGCTTGGATGCTGCCAAAAGAAACCTTCTCCCTTTGTTTTTGAAAGCCA